TAAACTATCATATAATTCACAATAAAATATTAAAATTAAAAAAAAAAAAAAATTCTCCCCCTCCCACCCGACATTGACTGCATGCTGGCCATTGTGCATCCTCAAACCACCCCAGTCAGCATTCTGGTGCCAAGTGCCCATGTGATCTGGTGACCTGCTCTACCAGAACCCAATAACCTGGGAGAAATGACCCTTCAGGATAGACAAAAGGCCATTACATGTTCCATTGCCTGGTTCAAAAAGCAAGGAATCGGAAAACTAGAGGCTGACTGACTTTTCTAAGATTTTAGGGCCAACACTAAGTGCAGGACTATCCATGGTGACTATTGGACTCTCTTCTCTGACCCTGAACTTCCAGCCACCAACAATGTAACCACATCTTAGCTCTGGCATCAGGATGAAAGCTCAACACAGGTAAGTTTCTTTCTAAATGCCCATTGTCTTCTATACCCCAACAGAGAACTCCAGGCAACCAGAATCTCTCCCTGTCACCATGAGTTCTCTCACACAGACACCCTACAATGACAGCTAGTGCTTCCCACTACTCCTCACCACTTTCTGAATACATTTTATAAAAATTCTGTGAGTTAGGTCTGTTAGGAAAACTGAACTTCCCAGTAACGTTTCCCTCAAGACTAGGCACATTCCATGGAATGATCAATGGGAAACTCACATATTTCTGGACAGCTCATGCAAATATGGGTTTTCTGTTTCATTAGTTTTTTAGATACTTAGATTTTTCTGTTAGTTTACAGTATAATTTTACTTCTTTCCCAATTAATATTAATTCATTACTTTTCCTGTCTTCTTGCATTGTCTTATATCTGGTAGCATTAAAAGGCGGGCTGCTAATCTCAAGGTCAGCAGTTTAAAACTACCAGCAGAGAAAGAGGAGGCTTTCTGTTACTGTAAAGATTTACAGCCTCAGAAACCCTATGCAGGGTCACTATGAGTCGGAGCTGACTTCACAGCACATAACTAGTACCACCACCACTACCACCAGTATCTCTGTTGACAGTGAGTATCCTATTGCTGCAGATTCCAAAATGAATTCCTGTAAAATTTCATATTGAGGTTGATGTTGTTATAGAGTTTTGGTAGATAAGTATCAGGTTAAGAAAATTTCATCTATTCCTTGTTAGTTAAGCCTTTTTGGTTGAAAATGAATAGTAAGAGTAATCAATACCAAAATGAGAAAAATATAGTAGTGTGGATCCTCAACAAGGAAACAATGTGGTCTGTGGTCGCAAGAACTCCAAGAGCTAATGTGCTCTTTAGCGCTGCTAGACCCATTTCTTTACCCATAACAGGTATTGTTATAACTAATGACAGAGTTGTCAGAATTTAAATTATATGAAGCACATAGAATCCTGTGTGGCTCACCAACACTAATTGTTTATTACTCTTCTTTCTTGTAGCTCCTCCATCTCTGCCTGTAATAATTGGTCCCCTGATGAGGATTCTGAGTGGACAGTATAAATTTCAGTTGTATGTCCTATGGCTTCTTGCCCAGTAACATCACTCTGAAGTGGTTCAAACATGGGGAAGAACTCCTACATTTCCAACCCCAAGAGCTCCAGGTAGAGAACAGCAAGTGTGTATGATATCACAAGTTTGTCTGAGGTGTTTCTGGTTCCAGTATACTTCTTGTCCCATTTCACCTACAGAGTGAGTCATCCAGGCTACATTCCCCTCTTCATTTGATCACTGATTTTTTGGAGAGCATTTTAGGTTGGTGATATCACATCTGAGCAGGGTTCCACTTGGCTTCAGAACACAGCTCTCTCCAAATTTACTTCAGAGCATAAGACTAAATGGAACAATGTTGATGCATTCCATTCCATTTTCTTCAACTTCAATTTGAATTTGCATATGAGAAAATGATGGTCTGTTCCACAATCTGCCCTTGGCCTTGTTTTGGCTGATGATATGGAGCTTTTCCATCATCTCTTTCTGCAGGTGTAGTCAATTTGATTTCTATGGGTTCCATCTGGCAAGGTCCATGTGTATAGCCATCTCTTATACTGTCTAAAATGGTATTTGAAATGAACAAATCATTGATTTTGCAGAATTATGTGATCTCCAGGATCATTTCTATCACCAAGGCCATATTTTCCAACTACTGATCCTTCATCTTTGCTCCCAAACTTTGCGGTCCAACCAGTAATGATCAATACATCTTGAGTGCATGTTTGATCAATGTCAGATTGAAGAAATTGGTAGAACTCTTTTATTTCATCCTCACTGGCTTTAGTGGTTGGTGTGTAACTTTGAATAGTAGTGGTATGAACTGGGCTTCCCTGTAGTTATTTTTGTGAAGTACTGTCAAGTCAGTTCTGTCCCATAGCAACCCTGTATAGGCTTTCAGAGGAGCATGGATATTTTCCTACCAGAGACAACACTGTACCTCATGACTCAATTGGATATGTTCTTTTTGACAGTGAATGAAACATCATTCCTCTTCAATTTGTCAATCCTGGCATTGTAGACCATGTGGTTGTCAGATTTAAATTGGTCAATACCAGTCCATTTCAGCTCACTAATGTGTAAGATATCAATGTTTATGCATTCCATTTCATTTTTGACAATTTCTAATTTTCCTACATTCATACTTTATACATTGCATATTCCAGTTATTGATGGATGTTCACAAACAAGCCCATGAGATCCAAAATATGACCTTGAATATATCCCACCTGAATTTAGAGATCATCTGAAGACCAGATTTGGTACAATAAACACTAAAGACCGAAGACCAAAAGAGGTGTGGGATGACATCAAGAACATCATACATGAAGAAAGCAAAAAGTCATTAAGAAGACAAGAAAGAAGGAAAAGGTCAAAATGGATGTCAGAAGAGACACTGAAACTTGCTCTCCAGTGGACAGATGCTAAAGCAAATGGAAGAAATGAGGAGGTACTAGAGCTGAGCAGAAATTTTCAAAAGGTCAGCTCTAGAAGATAAAGCCAAGTACTATAATAAAATATGCAAAGATTTAGAGTTAGAAAACCAAAAGGGAAGAACACGGTCAGTATTTCTCAAGCTGGGGGAACTGAAGAAACAAATCAAGCCTTGACTTTCATTACAGAAGGATTCGCTGGGCAAATTATTGAATTATGCAGAAAGCATCATGGAAGGTGTACACAGAGTCATTGTACCACAAGGAATTGGTTGATGTTCAACAGTTTCAAGAGGTAGCATATGATCAAGACCCAATGATACTGAAGGAGTAAATCCAAGGTATATTGAAGAAGTTCTCAAAGAACAAGGTACCAGGAATTGATGGAATAAAAATTGAAGTCATTCAATAAAGTGAGGTGGCACAGAAGGCACTCACTGATCTATGCCAAAAAATTTGGAAGACAGCTATCTAGCTGATTGATTGGAAGAGATCTGTATTTTTGCCCATTCCAAAGAGAGGTGACCCAATGGAACGTGGAAATCATCGGATAATATCTTTGATATCCCATGCGAGTAAAGTTTTACTAAAGGTAATACAGAAACGGCTACAAGCATACATTGACAGAGAATTTCCAGAGGTTCAAGGCAGATTCAGAAGAGGCCGCAGAATGAGGGATATCATTGCTGATGTCCGATGGATCTTGGCTGAAAGCAGAGAATATCAGAAAGATGTTTACCTGTGTATTATTGACTATACAAAGACTTTTGGTTGTGTGGATCATGACAAGATATGGACAACATTGCGAAGTATGAATACTTAATTGGGCTCATGTGGAATTTGTACCTGGATCAATAGGCAGTTGTTCCAACAGAACATGGAAACACTGAATGTTTTAAAATTAGGAAAGGTGTGCGACAAAGTTGCATTCTTTCACCATACTCATTCAACCTGTATGCTGAGCAAATAATCCGAAAATCTGAGTTTTATGAAGAAAAACATGGCATCAGGATTGGAGGAAGACTCATTAACAACCTGCAATATGCAGATGATAAAACCTTGCTTGCTAAAAGTGAAGAGGACTTTTACTTCATCTTCTTTACTGATGAAGATCAAAGAGCACAGCCTTCGGTATAGATTACATCTCAATGTAAAGAAAACAAAAATCCTCACCACTCTACCAATGAACAACATTCTTATCAATGGAGAAAAGATTAAAGTTATCTAGGACTTCATTCTTCTTGGATCAACTATCAACACTCACAGAAGCAGCAGTTAAGAAAGCCACATTAAGCAAATATGCTGCACAAGAACTTTTGAAAGTGTTGAAGAGCAAAGATGTCAGCTTGAGGACTAAGGTGCACCAGATCTAAGCCAGGGTATTTTCAATCATCTTATATACATGTGAAAGCTGGACAGTGAATAAGGAAGATCATAAAAGAATTGATGCATTTATGGTGTTATGGTGTTGGAGTAGAATATTGAAAGTGCCATGGGCTGCCAAAAGAACCAGTAGATCCGTTTTGGAAGAAGTACAGCCAGAATGCTCCTTGGAGGTCAAAATGGCCAAACTTCATCTCTCATACTTCGGAAATATTGTCAGGTGGGACCAGTCGCTGGAGAAGGATATCATGTTTGGTAAGGTGGAGGGTCAGAGGAAAAGAGGAAGACCCGCAATGACATGGATTGGGCATGTGGCAGCATTGATGGGCTCAAGCGTGGCAACAGTAGTGAGGTTGACCCAGGATCGGGCAGTGTTTCGTTCAGCTGTGCATAAGGTCCCTATGAGTCAGTACCAACTTCCTGGCACCTAACAACAGTAACAGCAGTTTCTCTTCATTTTGAGTTGTGCCCCACCAGCAAATGAAGGTCCGAGGGCTTTACTCCCATGGGTTTTACTCCAGTCGTGTCTGCACAGTCTACTCTACTTTGAGGAGGCAGCTATACCCCAGTTGCATTTTGAGTGACTTCCAACCTTAGGGGCTCATTTTCTGACACTATATCGGACAGAGTTTCTCTGCTATTCATAAGGTTTTCCATGACTAAATATTCAGAAGTAGTTGTCACTCCTTTTTCATAGTCTGTCTGTCTGGAAGCTCATCTGAAACCTGTCCACCATGGGTGACCCTGCTGGTATTTAAAATACCAGTGACATTGCTTCCAGAATCACAGCAACTCACAAGCCACCACAGTACAATAAACTGACAGACAAGTGGTGGCTTGTGATCTGTGCCTTTAAAGCCCCCATTTTAGGTAGCTAATGTCTAAGTTGCCTGTCCCTATCAACTCTGTGTGTAGAGGGGATAGGATTGATCTTTGATTTGAAGACTCCTTTCCTCTCAGTTGGTATTTTGAGCTACATCCATAAGTGTAGGTCAAGTTCAGCAAATTGTAGCAATATACATTTGCTTCCTTTACCAATTTTTTCAATCTTCCTTTTGTCGACTTCTGATCATCAAACCATTGAAGCTGGGTAAATGGGTAATATCTGCAAGTTTGGGCATTCTTGTGCATCTCCCTTATTTCATATCAGCTGGATGCTTTACTCTCAGCTCCAGCCTGCTGTGGCTATGATCTTGTCCATGGGGGACACCAGATTTCACCACTTCAAATCAATTGGCCCTTCCTCTTCTCTCGCTCATCTCCAGGTTGATGGAAGTCTGTGGGATGTGGTCAAATCAGCCCATATTTTCATTGTTGCGTTTCCCCCATTTCCACTCACCAGTAGACCAATGTGGTCAACAGTGAGCTTACATGCCTGCTTGTGTGTTCCCACTGAGTTTCAATCTTGAAGGGGGGTTTGTCCTGAAGGGACTTGACTGATTGTCTTGATGGCTTCCCGGTGAACAACCTGCTTCTTCCTTTAGTACCCAATTAGACTGCCATTTTTTTTTTATTTTTCCTCTTGGTCTTTCTTTCAAGAAATATCTTCTGTTTCTCTAGCTGCTCCAGACTGGTTGCTTGTCCTGTCCAGTGGGAATGTTCCACCTTAGAAGGTTCTGGATGCAGGTCATAATTCCACCTAAATTCCTATACACTACAAAGGTTCCACAAGAAGTCTATTTCACTGGACAAGTTCTAAAACTCCTTTTAGGTATTCTGATGAGTTATAGACTGAAGAGTGGCTTACAAGCTTTCTGTAATTACATTTCCTGATATTCCTTTCTACAATAGTAGGCAAGGGACATCTATACTCATAAGACAGTCAAGCATCTTAACATTATATCCCCTCTTTTACCCATTATGACTATGTCTCCATCCCGAGATTAATTGCTTCTTGTCCAGATGTTTTTGAATCTTTCCTCCATTTCTCATTGAGCCCAGGTCTTGGTGCTGAGCAGGGAAGACTTATAGCTGTCCCCCTGGTACCATGACTGTATTCCACTTACTTCTGTGAGATGTACACTCTTGTGCCCTGATATGTTGTTTGTCTCCTAGTCTCCACATGAAACCCTGGGTGTCTTGGGAACCTTTCTTGATTTAGAGCAGAGGCAGGGGGTAAACACAGTCAGTGACAGATGTTTACTTCATTCTTGTGACCCTAGAAAGTTTTCTAAAAGTTTTGAGCCTCAATTTTCCCTCCAAAATGGTATAGTGACTATGAATTGGCATGCAAACTACATGGGTTGCAGTTCAAAACTACCAGCTGTTCCGCGCCAGATAGATGAGGCTTTCTGCTCCCATAAGATTTACAGCCTTGGAAACCCTATACAGGGTCGCTATGAGTTGGAAACAACTCCACGGTATATAACCACCACCACCATGGGATTATGATGAATAGTTAAGGATGCTGTGGTTGTTAAGTGCTGTTGAATAGGTTTTGACTCATAAACACCCTATATAGGGTTTCCAAGGAGCGGCTCTGGGTTTAAACTGCCAATTTCTAGGTTAGCAGTCCAGTGCTAATTCTTCAGCTGCACACCAGGACTCCACAGGAGTTGGTAGTGGTGGTGGTTATGGGCCATGAAGTCCACTTCATCTCATAGGGTCTGTGAATAGGGTTTCCAGGCCGTCAATCTTTATAGTAACAGAAAGCCTCGTCTTCTTACCGCAGAGCAGCTGTTAGATCCAGACTACTGACCTTTTAGTTAGCCACCCTCCTCATAACCCATTGTGGTACCAGAGCTCCTTTCAAAGGAGGGATAGCAAGAAAATTAAATGATTGCAATTGCTCTACCTTTAGCATAAATCAGGCCCAACACAGCAATGTTGGATGCAAATGGGTGCTTACCTGGGCAGGGTCCCAGAGCAGCAAGAAAAGTAGTCAGTGCTTGGATCTTTTGACCTTTTTGACCTAAGCATGTAGGATGGGTTCCCACGTGCCCTCCAAGAGTTCTTGCCCATCTCTCTGTTCTTCTCCTGCTAGGCCACAAGGTAGTTCTGATATAGAGGGCAGCAGAATGAGTATGGTGTCAGTACAACATGAAAGGAGACTGTGACCTCAAGGAGGTAGGATGAGGTGATGGTCGCAACCTATCCTGAGAGCAGGTGAAAGGTAGGAGGGCCCACAAGGTCTTATGGTGCCAACTTTCATCTGGAGGTTAAAGAGTCACACATATTTGCCTATTTCCCCTCCAAGGGGGCAAAAAGTTCCCTTGTATGTATTCAGACCCATGACAACACCATGTGTTGCAAAGTAGAATAGCTCCATAGGGTTTGGCTATAATCTTTATAGAAGCACATCACGAGGCTTTTCTTCATGGGCACCATGGTTCAAACCACAAGCCGTTTCTTTAGTAGCTAAATGCAAATTGTTTGCACACCCAGGGACCTCACTTCCACAAGAATCTCCTGACATCTTTTAAGAAGCTGCATACTTAGAGGCAGTAATGGGGGAAATGGGGCTTGATCAAGGACTTGCAAGAGGCATTTGAGGGTCAGTAGAGGGGAGTAAAACCCTGGAGAGGGTCTGGGTGTCTTCTCATTTTTCCTCTCAGTCTGATCATGAGTGCAGATAAATGGTAAACAAGGGATGAGTAAGTGCATAGCTGTATGACATGCTTCCACACAGCAACTCTCTTCCATGCGCTGTGGAAACTTCAGTCTCTGCTGATTCCTTCCCTCCTGGGCACCTTGACTGAGCAAGAAGAAATACGGTGTAGGGACCTTTAAAAGCCTCATATTGCTGAATGATGGCCTCCCAACATCCTCGTCCTATCACAGGTGTCAGGACAACAGCTCAATAAAACTGGGGCTCATCCTACCTCCCTAGGAAGGGAGAACAAGGGGACCTGAACCCCATCCTCGTGTCTAAGTTCTCATGCGTCCTACTCCTTTCCATGTTGTCTAACTACCAACACCTGCAGCTCAGGTTTGTTTTCTGAATCTATACAAGGGTCTTAACACACCCATTTATTAGCTCACTGATGTTGTGTGTGAGGAATTCTGACAGACACAACAAGAAGAGCTAGTCTCTGCAGTGTATGATCTGAGACCTCAGCTGGGAAGACTCACCTAGAGTGACCAGGCTGCTGTGATCTAGAATCATCTGGAAGCTTCGTATAGGTGTTGATGGATGGGTGCTGGCTGTCAGCTGACACCACAGCACAATCCCCTCCCTGCGGCAACAGTCATCCAATTGCCTCCCTCTCATTCCCCTTTTGCATCTTATATTTCACAAATAAACAAAGCAAAAATTTTGATGCACACATACAAAACAAAAAAGATATACTCATTTAAATGTCCACAGGGCAAATTCAGCAAGCCAGCCCACGAGCACATTCTTGGTGAAGGCATTTTCCTTGTGTCCATGCTCCCTGCGCTAGCTCCAGACTGAGGGGCAGACAGGAAAGACACCTCTCCTTCCAGTCATGTTTCTGGGTCTGCTGCTCTTCCTCCTCCTCCTCCCCTCAAAAGCCTCCTCCATTCTCTAAATCAGAAACCACAACTCTCAACCACAGCCTAACTACCAACGCTAAATCAAAGCTCTTTCTCCTTCAGAAAGCAGAAAGTAAGAACTTCCGGTACTAGAGTAAGGAAACAAGCCTCCCATCCACTGAGACTTCCTTTAAAGTGCAGTACTGAAGTGGCGTTTCCTCCTGACTCTAACTGGGCAGTGCATCTGAACCCACATGTTGGGCTGGTACAGGAGACTCAACACAGCCCTCACCATCACAATGTTGTGTGGCAGAAGCCTTCACTCAGCTCAGGTCTCCAGGGCTTCTGGATCTGAAATGACTACCAGAGTCCCTGAGGAGGCATGTAGGGCATAGGGGACAGAGGCTGGGCACTGAAGGAGTTGGCCATAACGATGTCAAGTATCTTTTTTCTTTAGAATCCTTACTTCAGTAACCTCTTGGATATATGTGGTTTGTGTTACACAATCTAGAAGAAGGAACTGTCAGAATTCCACAGCCCTTTCCTCATATCAATGTTACTTCCGTTGACATCACAGATTAAAACACCGCCTCTGTCTCCACAGAGCCAAGTCCTGGCCCTCCCCGTGCAACACTGGCACTCAGGAAGCTCCAGGGACAACCACGATGTCCATCCTTGCACCCCAGCACCACCTGCCTCTGTCTTCCTTGCTACTGCCTCTGCGGCTGGGACTTACAGGTGAGTGTGGCCTCTCTCAGGTGCCATGTACAGGGATGCTTACCTAAGACTGGGCTTGACAGTGGTACCCTTCTCTTATTGGCATTGGGGCAGGTGGCTGTCTATTCTATACCACCTTGCCTTTTGGTTCCTTCCCTCTACTTAAATGACTTCATCGTCCTCAGATCTCTTTCTCCTCTGCCTATTCATCTATAAGAGATTTTTCCAAATGGTTGCTCTTATATTAAGGAATGTTCAAAAACATTCCCCTAGGAGTTGTATTTATTGTCCTGGGAGATGTGTTTCAGGGAGGGGGTATGGATCTTACTGCTTGGAGGGATCCATTCCTCCCCACTCAGGTGCAGAGAGAAATTACCTGACAGGAGTTCCATTCTTTTCTCTAATCTTCTTCATCTTCCACTGAGTCACTGC